CGCTGCGCTGGGGGGGGCGTGAGCCCCCCCTAAAAAAAAAATTCTATACCTTACATAAATGAGCAAAGTATCAAATAATTTCCTGCCATATTTAGTTAATAAATATCCCCAGATCTGTCTTCTAGTTCAATAATTTTCTCATCAGCAGTGTCTAATCTCCTGTTTAACCTATCACTGAGTTTTAAATTTCAATAACTATATATATATATATATATATTTCTGAATGCTGTATTGAGTTCTTTATCAAATCTGCCTTTCCTTTATATTTGATGTCTTATATCCTTAACGTTTTACTGTTTAAAATATTTTTATAAATTATTTTTAACATTTTAAACTCTTTTATTTCAACTAGTAATTCAACTATTCTGAGTTTGTGGGTCTCGCATTCTCCTAAGCATTTTTTCTACTGACTCAAAGTAAATAAATTCTTTGTTAGTTTTGTGATGTTTTTAATTTTGTGACATTTTTAGAACTCCTTTAAAAGTTTATTCATTTATTCATTCTATGAGAGAAAGAGACAGGTAGGCATCCTCATCAAGTTTTTCATTCACTGTTTACATCCAGTTGCAGCTGGCCAGGATTGCAGGCACTCAAGCACATCCAGCAGGAAGATTCAGGAATATGAACCTAGGACTTTCCCCATGTGGATCCATTGCATTAGCGCTGTGCCACCATCTGGTCTAGTATGGGTTTTTGTTCTGGGACTCTTTTGTGGCCTGATGTGTGGGAGCAGCTCCCAGAGTCCTTTTGCATTTGCTTCTGGCAGACACTGAAAGCTATTACCAGTTCATGACTGGTAATTTCCCCTGTTTTGATATTTGCATACCACTTAGAGTATATTCAAATCAGAAAATCCATTGGAGGTAATTTAAAAAAAAATTATTTAGGTTTTTGGCATAGGAAGCGTATACTTCCCAGAGACACACAGAGAGAGGGGAAAGTGAGAAATCACCCCTCAGGAGGGATGGCCATGCCACAATCTGTTCTCCATTCCCTTGTAAGTTGGGGCATGCATGTACAAGTGTGATGTTTTCAAGCCACCCTGAGACTCAGACTATGGTCAGCCATGTGATAGTCCAGCACCATAACCACCATGTCATGTTCTGGCCCTGGCATCTTTTTTTTATTCCCACTAGTAAAGTTTGAGGGTTAGAGTTTGGATTTTGCCACTTTTTTTGTCAACAATTGGTTTTTTCCTGTTTTTTTTTTTTTTTTTTTTTTTTTTTTTTTTGCCAAAGAGTGTATGCACTTGCCAGAGAAAGAAAGGGGGAGGGAGAAAGATCCCTCAATGAGATTTAGTCACATCACAATCCCTCTTCCTCCCTATCTCCTTCCCATCACAATCTTGGGCATGTATGTACATAGCTTGGCATGTTTTTCTTTCTTCTTTTTTTTTTTTAATTTTTAAAGCTACCATATTGAATGGTAGCTTTTTATTTTATTTTATTTTACATTATTTGTTTTTTAATTTGACCAGAGAGAGAGAGAGGAAGTAAGCCACTGGATCCAGGACTCAAATCGTGGACAGCTCGTGGACAGCTATGTGGGAGTCCAGAGCTCTTAATTACTACACCACCTGCCAGCCTCGTTTGGTGCATTTTTCAAGCTACTGGGGCAGGGATTCAAATCGCGGTTGTCATGTGGGATCTGGCTCATTGTGCACTGTGCTCAACCACTGTGCTGCAGAGTCAGCCTCTGGGTGGCATGATTTAATGGTTTGATTCATCAAAGGAGATTTTTCCCCCACTTACGGCTTGGGCAGCTACACACAGCCTCCTAATCATCTTTCTGTGTTGGTGGATAGATTCTTCGTTTTTTAGTTGTGTAGTCAGAGGTCTCAGTTCCAATTCTCTGGATGGAAGAACCCAAGTCCCTATCTCTTATGCCTCTCTAGGTACCTAGACATAGATCCTGGATTCTTGAAAGTCTGAGATGGAACTCTCTCTCCAGGGTCACAAACTTCAGTTCTAAGGAACGGAAGGCCTTACTTCACTTTTGGCCCCATGGCATTTACCTTTCTTTCTGGCAAACTCAGCTGTCAGAATAATCAAATAATCTCATGTATTACTTATAATTTCTGGAGATTGGAGTAGGGAGATTTTTCAGGTCCACCATCCTGCCAGAACCAAAATTCCAAGTAAATTTTACGGTAAGATAAGGTCCTGTTGCTCTTTAGGGCCCTGTATCTAAGAGCAATTTGTAGTTAAAACAAGTAAAAAAGATGCAGATTTTTTTACTGCATGGTAATTTATTGGGAATATACTATAATAATTACTGTTTTGATTGCAATTTTAGTTCCCTAAACAAAACAAAGTTCATGGACTTTATGCTCCTAGAAATGAAACACAAAGTCACCAAAGGAAAAACTTAAAATTCATTGCAAATAGAGCTTCCCTGCCCCCTTTCTTCCAGGGTTCTTAGATATTGGGTTACTTTGAAAGACTGGGAAACAATATTGGAGACCTTGCTTGATCCAGTCACCTTGGGCCCTACCTTTGTTGTTCTCACTCGTACATTGAACAAGCAGCTGGAATGTGCTAGCCAGGGCCCAGCTGGAGTTGGGAGGAGTGGGTGGCAAAGGAGAATGTGGAGACACATTAACAAAAGAAGTCACATTTAGGAAAAGGCAGGGCCATATACATCACAAATGACAATGAGTTCTTATAAAATCCCACATAATAATGTGGAAGATAATTTTTTTGTTTATTGTTTATGCTATAGGGGCATGCGTGCCCATTGAGAGACAGAGAGAATATGTGAAAGCACCCCCACCCAGGGGATGGTCATGCTCCAATCCCTTCTCCTCCATTCTCCTTTGGGATTTTGGCCACACGCGCCATGCACATGTGCCTAGGGTGTTTTTCAAGCTTCGGGTCCAGGGCGCTAACTATTTATTTGACTCTGTGGGATCCAGCTGTCTTAACCCCCAGACCACTGACTGACCCAAGGGAGATATTTTTTCTCTCAAAAACTAGTTTTTTTTTGTGTGTGTGAAAGGGTTTATTTATGTTTCCAATCTAGAAGCAATAGACTCAGTGGCTATTAAAGGTCATAATAAAGAAATTATTTTAAGCATGAATATCACAAGAACACTATTTCATAGTTTTTAGGAGAAACAAAATACATCTTTCTTGAGAAGTATCTGTATATATAAAATGAGTAAATAAAACGCATATGAAATTCGTGGAAAATGAGCATGAAAAAACTATAGAAGGATTTCAAAAAAATTTTTTTGCACTAAAATAAACTTATATTTTAATTCCATTTTTCCACAAGTATTTTCAAGTCACCGGGTGTGTTTATATGTGTGTGTGTGTGCGTATCTGCTCCTTCTCCCAAATACAGTCTCAGACCAACTGCTCCTCACTCAGAGAGGTGTCTGATTTAGACTAATTCAACGTGCGCTCCCTAACGCACTCCCTTGGTATCACTCTCATGTTTTCATGGCACTTACCGCTATCTAAAATTGTGTTACTCGCTTCATGTATTCGTTTTCCAATTTAGTTCCAGGTCCTAAAGCAGTGTTTCTTACTGGGAGGTAGATGGATGAGTGAATGAATGAATGGGTGACTCAGTGAGTGAACGAGAATGTTGGCCGCCCCTGGAGGCAGCCCCTGCCCAAAGCCCCCTCCCGGCGCGTGGGTGCTGGGCTCGGGGCTCGGGGCCCGGGTCCTGCTGGGTCCCGGCTCCGCCCCACCCGCGCGCGCTCGCGGCCCCACGGCGGAACCCGAGGGCGGCGGCAGCGGTTTCCCTTGAAAAGGCGGGGGAATCTGGGCCGGGCTGGGCCGAGGGCAGCAGGGTCCCGGGCCTCGGGGTCGCTCCGTCAGCACCCGCGGCGCGGCCGGAGGGTGGGAGAGAGGGCCAGGCCGGCGCGGCGGGAGGGCTCCGCGCGGATCTTGTGATCACGGTGGGAGTCAGCGGGCTGGGTTCGAGACCCAGAGCTGTCGCCCTCGCTTTTTCCCTTGGGCTTCAACGTACTCCTTTGCAAAATGGGACCAGTAGTGTCTGAACTACCGATGGGTCCATTCATTCTGGGTGCGCACGAGGTTCTGGTGCAGACAGAATCTGTCAATGAAGGGTTCACTCTCTGGTGAGAAAGCCCCCACCTTACATGTCAGGAGGATCCATAACAATGAGAATTTGAGAGTTTTTTTCTTCGTGTGTATGTAGGGGGTGCTGCTCTTATGTTAATTGAAACATGTAAAATTTAGACCTTTACTAAGGTTGGGGAATGAGAATCATTTAGAAAGGAATATGATTGTTGACTAATTGCAATGTTGTGAGGGCAACAAATACAGGAACATTTACAAGGTGCATTGGCAGCCCTATAACACGTGATCTTCACAGTCAAATGAGATAATGGAGCAGGTGACCTATCCTCACTTTACTAGTGAAGAAACAGGCTAAAGTTAAATGACCTACCCAGGCTTTCTCTACAGTCAGTGACATAGCTAGGACTAGACTCTAGTTCCAGCAGTCTACTACACTAGGTTACCTGCATATTTCCACATTATTTTTATATTGCAGTAACCATCCATTTGTGATAAAAAGGGAGTTCCACTGGGTCAGGGAATAGACATCAACTCTTCGGTTATTCTCTAATTTATTATTGACATTTTCACACTACCTGACCTTGGGTGATTTTATCACCGTGCAAACTGAACCTACTTGACACGAATGAATCCCAAATCTATATCTTTTCCCCAACTTCTCCTAGCATCCAACTGCTAAATCTGGACAGCCATTGGACATTAAAACTAGTGTTCCCCATAGACATGTCTAACAGTTTAGATATCCCCCAAACTGCACACATTGCCTTTCTACTTAAACTTATGATCTGTGTAACCAGTTGCTCAAAGAGAAAACCTGGCTTGGTTATTTTCTCACCTCCTGCAATCAATTGATCACCAACTGCTGCCAATTTCTACTCTCTAGTGTTTTCTAGGTCCATCCTCTGTCTCTTGTTCTCTCCTTCCTTTAGGTGCCTCTAGAGATTATGATAGTAACTTCCTAATGGCTCTCTTTAACATTCATTTCTGTCTGCTGTTCCATTTCCCATTCTGCTACAAAGTGACCTTTCAGTAGGTCAAATATGATTGTTTACCTGCTTAAATCCCATCAAAGGTTTTTCATTGTCTTCAACCTCATATCTATTGGAGCTCAGAAACTGAACCTCAAAGAGTGGCACTTTGACATGCTGTAAGGTCTTGGAAGCAGAATCAAGGTCTCTTGTTTCCTTGTCTCTTCTCCTTTACTCTAAGTGCAAGGAGGAGCTCCCTCTGGAAATTTTTTACCTGAGAATTCCCTTCCAACAGAAATGTTTAAATCTCTTCCCTAAGAATCTCATAAGGCAACCAGAATGAGACCAAAGGTCTCCGTGCCCAGGAACCCTCTTCAGAGTACAGATTAGCTAAGGAACTTTATCTAAGTGTAGTCCCACCCCTTGCTCCTCACCTTTCAGTAGCTCGTTGGCCTCACTGGGCTTCCAAAGAGAATCATTTCTTACCCATTGTCTGAGCATTGGTCCCATTCCTTCCATCGGCCTTTCCAGTGAGAGAGTCTGTAAACTGCATGGCTCCCTTATATAGTTGGTCATCCTAAAAAAGGAACGTTAAGGCAAAGAACTTTTTGAACTAGTGATTTAGGATGATTTGCCCAGGTGACACAGGTTCCAGTTGTCAAAATGGCTGCTGAGGGCTGGTTTATGTGACGGAAGGGCAAGATGAGGGGAGCATACCAGATATTTGTCAAGAATTCACTTTGGTCTGTTTAAAATCACACAGGTAACTGATTGGCTAGTCCCTGTTTGTTTGTTTTTGCTGTAGTCCTTCTCCAGTCACCTTTCAGGTTTTGGGGCATGCACACACATGTGCCTGGAGTATTTTAAGCTACTCAGTTCAGGGCTTGAACCGCGGTTGACTACTTGGGAGTCCAGCGACATAACCATTACACCATCTGCTGGTCTCTTCTTTACATCGTGAATTCAGGGAACATTGGGATGAGGAAAGGGTTGGCATTACATTGTAGCTCTATAGTCCTTTGAAGCTTGTCAGTTTGTTTACTGTGAACTAAGACATGCCTTTTGGGTAATGACCCCAGTGGGTATGGGGCTTGACTAGGGTCTTATGCTTATTCCTCTCTTGGGATTTTAGTGGACCTCACATTCCATGGACTGTTCTGAACTTTTATTTCTCATGTGTATACACTAAGAGAAACCTGAATGCCTTTTCTCTTACTAATCTGCCTATTGTCAGTGATTTTCAGCAGAATCTTCAAAGGGATAGGGAAATTTTCTTGGCCCCAGTGTATTCAAAGTCCTAAGTGTAGACTTTAGGCATTTTCTAATCTTTCCTCCCTATCCTTTATCTCTTTTATTTATTTATTTTTTTTTGAGAATTACTTATTTAATTTTATTTATCATTATTATTATTATTTTAAATTTTACTACAGGGTATGTGTGCTTACCAGAGACAGTGAGAAAGCAAGCTGCCAGATCTAGAACTCAAACTATGGTTGGCCATGTGGGAGTTCAGTGCCTTAAACCACCATGCTACCTGCTGGTCCCATCCTTTATGTCTTAATCTCAAAGTCTGGTATGGTGCAGCCCTCCATGAAAATTATGGAAGTATATATTAAAAATAAAGACAATCATAATTCCAGAACAAATGAAACTTGGGAGAGGGGAATACCTAAGAATCTGCATTTTTAACAGGTTCTGTGCATTTGACAAGTTCTACACTAAAGGCTGAGAATGCTTGTTCTAGACAGTCTCTGATATTTACCCTGTTCTTTATTTATATGCCACTACTGATGGAATTCAGGGTATGCTACTTCCCCCAGACATGGCACCTTGGCACTTGAGGATGCAACATAAACAGAAGGTCTCTCTCCAGTCCTGCTTTTCTGCCTGAAGCAGACCACAGAATTCCTGACCTTCCTTTATATAAGCCCTCGTGTGAGAAATGCCCATCTTACACTTGGAGGAAAGGAATCCCCTTGTCTTTAAAGACACAGGGGCACAGAGGAATCTAAACAAACAGACCTTGCTAAATTCCCTCCCTTTTTAGAATCATACTTTTGTTTGACTTTCTATTCTTCATCAAACTTAGCGTAAAAATACACAGATTTCCTTGTTTCTTTGGTTCTTCATTTCTGAAGGTTCTTGTGTCATAACAAACTTAGATTAAAGAAATTTATATGCTTTTCTCTTGTTAGTCCTTTGTTGTAGGGGTCTCTGCCATGAACCTGGCAATGAATGAGAACTGAAATCTCCTATACCAGCTACCTGTGTTCCTCTGAACATACTTGTATGTCATATGTTGTCCTAGTTAAGGCTGCTATAATAAAAATGCCGTAGACTATTTGCCTTAAGCAATATGCATTTATTTCTCACAGTTTTAGAGATTAGGAATCTGAAATCAGGGTACCAACATGAGTAGCCGCACTGTGAGGGCCTTCTTCTTGATTTGCAGATGGTGTCTTCTTAACTTATACTCACATGCAGAGAGAGAGAGAGAGAGAGAGAGAAAGAGAAAGAGATAATTTCTTTGGTGTCTCTTCTCATTCATGAGGTCACATAGCCTGGTAACCTCCCACAGGCTCCATCTCCTAATAACATCTCAGCAGCAATTAGGGCTTTGAATTTGGGGGGGTGGGAACAAACATTCAGACCATAGCATACCCATACCTCCTTTATACCTCGGTGACTTTCTCTTGTTCTTTAATACTCAGGGAAGTCTTGCCTGTGTGTTCCATCCTTTTACCCTCAGTTTAGGTTAGGTCCACCTAACCTCACAGACTTGTGCTTGCCCAGCATTCATCCTGCTGTATTGCAATCATAAATGAGTAACAGGGGTTTAACAGTTGTGAGCACTTAAAATGGGACTTATTCTTCTCTGCTCTAATGCCCATCACAGAGCCTAGCATGTAAGTGTTCATTAAAGGTCTTTTGAATGAAGTAGTGGTTTAGGGTCAGATGGAGAGGAGTTCAAGAATTAGATGGGGCCCAGCCTCTGTGGTGACGTCACTAGCATACTGAACTGTAGTGCTGGAAGCCACATGGCTAACTGTGGGTTAGGATTCCCAACCTGGTCAACCTACTGGTTGCCCAAGAGTCTTCCAAGATGGAGAGCTGGAGGAAAGGAATTGAAGTGTGATTAGACCCTGTGGGGGTGCTTCTCTTTCTGTCTCATATGTGTATGCACATGCTCTCTATTATGATTTTTTTTTTTTTTCTAAGATGATCCTTTGGGATCCTTTCTGTACCAGCTTGGACATTATGCAGGATTCAAGAAGAGTGGGCTTTTGGATTCAGGAGCTTCATTGCTGCTTGTGAAAGGATGTTTCTACTCTTGAGAAGAATTTTAGCCAATGGGAGTTCCAGGAAGTAATAAGAGAACTAGAGGGACCAGTAGTTAGTGTAATGGAATGGCTATGTCACTGAACTCCCATGTAGTTGACCGCAGTTCAAGTCCCGGACCTGGTGGCTTTAACTCATGCCAGGCATGTGTGCGTGCGAGCCCAAGATCCCGAAAGGAGAATGGAGAAGGGATTGCGGCATGGCCATCCCCACTGGGGGGTGATTTCTGGCTTTCTGTCTCTCTGTCTCTCTCTTTCTGACAAGCACATGCCCTATAGCAAAAACCTCTCCAACAACAAAAAGAAATTAAAAAAGAGAGAATTAGACTCTTCAGTGGAAGTGGCATTTACCTTACACATAGTTATGTGATTTTTGTTTACATTTTTATCATTTAGAAATAATTTATATTCATTTTTAAAAACTTGGAAAATAAAATTGCAGTTTTAAATGTAAAATAAATGTTCCCTATGGGCCCACAGTCTTTAACCACCTGAAGAGTTTGTTTTTTATATATTAGGTCATTGGAAAAGTCATGCACATTTTTGCATAGAAAAAACACTTCATGACTTTTCTGATGACTCAATATATTGGTATTTTCAACATTTATATTAATGTTTAAACAATAATTGGGATAATACTAATGACATATATTTTTAATCCTGATAATTTAATATTGTATTTTGAGTTTTTTCCTTATCAGTAAAAATTCTTAGTCAAAAAAATTTAATTGCTAGTTAGTTATTCATTCAGTAGATAGTTCTTAAATAGCTGGTATGTGCCACATCTTCCACTGGGATTAGCTTATCAGCAAATCTGAAAATAAATATAAAATGTCATCAAATGATGAGTGCTATGAAGGCAGCAACAGAATAAGGACGTGTATTATGACTTTGTTTTTTATTAAAGTTGTGCCAATTTCCTTTCTTAAAGGAGTATGTGAGCATGACTACCTCATTTTATTTTGTCATCAGTGAATGTGATCATTTTTAAAATGTTGATTTTATAGATAAGTAATGGTATTTTTTAAAAAAATTCCATGACTTTGACTAAAAGTTGCAGGTTTTGTACACTGTTGGGTGCATTTCCTCTTAGTCAAATGTTCTGACACGTTCTCTGCTTATTTGCATGCTGAGGGCCTGGTCTTCTATTTTGAATAAGCCCTCTGCATTAGTAATGTATTATCGAGGTCTTTATATGATAATAGATGGAAAAATGCTCTTAATCAATGGTATAGTGAGACTGCAAGGTGGCAGAAGAACAGAGGAAGTCTGGAATTCCCTTTCTCTTTTTCTGTCCCTCCCTCTTCTAATCTGAAGAGGAAAGAGTAATTGGAGAAGGATGAAATGTGGCTTAGGGGGAAAGATGTGGAGGATGAAGTGAAGGTAGGTGAGTGGGCAAGAAGATGAAGATGATGAGACGAGAAAGGAGAAGGGGAGCGATCACAGGAAATGGTGTATGGAGGGAAACGAGTGAGAGGAAGAAAGGAGAGAAGGAGGATGAAAGAGTGAAGAGAATAATTGGGTTGCTTCATGAGATTACCTTGGAAAAATTATGTTTTTCTTTTTTTTGCCTCTAGTAATCTAGCAAATCCTTAGGAGAAAATGACTGTGTTCTTTAAAACACTTCGAAATCATTGGAAGAAAACTACCGCTGGGCTCTGTCTGCTGACATGGGGAGGCCATTGGCTCTATGGAAAACACTGGTAAGTATCTAAAGCACCCACTCTGCCTTCACCCCTGACAACAAAATAGCCCCAGAGGGCCTGAGGTTAAATACTCATTCAGCTATGCTTGTCTGTATCAAACACTGTGATGTGAAAGAAAAACATTGTTCGAATGAAAACCAAAGACAAAGGCTTCTGTAACCCGTTACATATAATTGGGACTGTATGGCACTATTAATGCTCATACTTCAGTAGCTATAGATTAACAGTAGTGACTTGTTATTCATTTTATTTAAGATTGCAGAAATTCAAGCCTGTCCTAGACAGGGAAAATTTGTTTCTGAGCCCAAGCCAAATCCGCCTGCCCATGTACCACAAACCAAACTGCAGGGCTTCAGTGAAGGAAAGTACGGCTTTATTGCCGTGTGCACGGCAAGGAGAGTGGGCGTGCACTACCAAAACAACCTGCTCTTGGTCCAGTAGGTAATATGGTGTCTAGATCCCAAATGGTCTACTGTGCAATTTGGATCCTGGGCCTGGAGGCTTGAGAAACACACTGAGCACGTGTGAGTGCTTGCCCAAAATCCAGGAAGAGAGGTGAAGTGGAGGACAGGGATTGCCATGTGACCATGCCCCATGGGGGTGCTGTCTCACTCTCCTCCTCTCAGTCTCTCCAGGGAACACATTGGCAAAAAGAAAAAGTCTGATCTGCCCAAGGAATTCCAAGCATGCATTTGTAAGGGCAGAATCAATGATTAGTTCAAGAGGGTATGATTGTCTCATGGGCTTTCTTGGTTGGTGGGGTCTTAGGTAATCAATTTTTATTTTTGGAGGCAGCAGTCATTAGGTTTCTGGTGCCATTCACTCAAGGCTCTATGTACTTTTCCATCCTATAAAACATCTTCACAATTTGAGTTAAAACCCTATCTTTTCCTTTAAGTGAGAGGTTTTGAAATCTTATTGTCCCATGTTGCTAATTACACCATTGTCTCAACTATTAGCTAATGCCTCCAGCTGAACCAATTTCTATACAAAAAGGAAGGCAGAGGATTGGCCCTGTTGCCTAGTGGTTAGGGGAGTTGGAGACTATGTGACTAAGTGTGATTCAAATCCCAGCCTCAGTGGCTTGAAAAATATGCATGTGTATGCATGCCCAAAATCCAGACAGGATGGAAAAATGGAGAAGGTATTGAGGCTTGACTATGCCACACTGGGGGGTGCTTCCTTCTCTTCTCTCTAGTAAGTGCAGGCACCTCCATCTTTT